ATTAACATCTTAGTGATCAAAACAGGCCCACAGTCTTTACCCAAACATTAACATCTTAGTGATCAAAACAGGCCCACAGTCTTTACCCAAACATTAACATATTAATGATCGAACTCATCCATAGCATCAATTATGTAATGAAAACACGTTATATTCTTTGAACATTTTAATTATTGATCAGAATTTGGTTCAGGTGTAATTTTAATTTTCCTGCATAACGATTTTGTTTGTTTGGAATTAAGCACAAAGCTACACAATGGGCTGTCTGTGCTCTTCCCACCACGGGTTTAGAAACCCGGTTTCTAGCGTTGTAAGTCCGCAGACCCTGCATAACGAAGTTACATTAAATACATTGCTGTCGTCCATTGTTAACATCAAAAACTAAAATAAACCTCTGTTGCACGTTTCTTAATCTAATCTAATATATATATATACTTTTTGGAAGCATTATTATGTACATAGAACTTTCTCCTGATAAGTTAACGGTTTATTGTATGAAAATTAAGCACATTCAAATAGTAGTTCCGAAAGTCTATATTTCAAATAAAGAAATGCATCTACAAATCAAGTAACTAATACGTTTAATTTCAGTGAAGTGATATATAAGAATGCAAACAAATATTAAAAAGTTTTATTACTACAGAGATAAGCCATCAACGCTTTTAACTTTTTATAACTTATTTAAATAAACATTTTTATCTTATTTTTGTAATTTATTCAAACAAAAAATATCTCGATTATTTATTTTCTAATAAGTGTATTTATGACACACAAAACAAATTGTATAACGTTACTAGAATTTTCATCGTAAGATTCAGACTCATTTCAGTGCTAAACCATTTCTATTTAACGTCTTCTTATCAGACAGACATGGATCTTACCTTACCAACTGATCACGCGGATGCCTATGTGGTTGTATACTCAGTAACTAATAGAGAAAGCTTTCAACGAGCCAAAACCATTTTAAACTACATCAAAAACCTAAATGACGAAGACAAAAAAGCCATTATTTTAGTTGGAAACAAGACAGACTTAGCGCGGTTAAGGATTGTTGGAACTAACGGTAAGTGTTGTAGTTTAATTAGCTGTTGTAGTTAGTTATTATTATCTGAAATTTTACCGATATATTCTTCACTCAGTTTTGGTAAGATGAAAAGCACATAGTCAAATTTAAAGCATGCATTGTCCGACTTCTTCCGCTGTCCCAACACTTTGAGCTCTTGAGAATTCGTGCTCTTTGGTCAGTTTTACTGCTGTAGCCACTTCATTTATATTAGAAAATTTTGAGGTAAAAAAATCAAAGTAAAATTAGGTTTATATATGTTAATGTTGCGGCATACATACATGGGCGTCCGCAGACATTTTTTCAGAGGGGGCGGGGGGCAAAGTATTGTGAATTGAATAAAAAATTCATATACATATGCTGAATGAATAAACAAAGAATTACGTTACTCATTTTCCAAAGTGCCCCTTTTGCCTCCCTCCCGGGACGCCCATGGATACAAAGTCTGGTGTCATCTCATAATTCAAAATTAGGATTGACATTTTTCAAAATGTAGCTCACAAAACAGGTAATTCTCCTTTCGATGTACTTTTCTCTCAGTACAGGAGCAGGTCCACCGAGAGGAACAGAACCCCTGACTTTAGCGTTGTAGATCCGAAGACTCTTCGCTGCCCCACCGGGGACATCATAATGCTCTAAGGGCGTTACAAATTTAAAAATATTTATAACCGAAACATTTATTTTTCATGTAAATGTTGAAATATTAATGTTCCTGATGCAGCTATTAGAGCATTCGTTTTTTACTTTTCCAAAAAAGAACAATCGTGGCCCGCTTACACCTTTGAATTTTCTTTAAATAACAACAATATGCCATTCTTATAAGATTTTAAAATGCTATCCAATCGTTTATTTGATGTTAACAACAACAAAAATCGTAGACATTTTCATTTAACAAAACTGTTAAGAACAAGTAACGTTATAATTTAATTATGAAATAATTAAATACGTTTTGTATCTCCACTATAGAAGGGTCATTCTAAGTTTGCATCTACTATAAAGATTCTTTCTCACTTGTTTTTCTTTTAGCTGGTAGAGATTTGGCAACATCTCAGAGATGCAAATTCATTGAAACGTCAGCAGGCATCAATTATCATGTCGACGAACTACTGGTTGGAATACTCAGTCAAATTCGATTGAAGCGCTCTCATGCGGACAGATGCGGAAAGCAGCGCAATTCAGTGAGTTTGGACAAAACCATCGGCCTATCATTAACAGCGGGCAATTCCTTTAGGAGTAAAGGCGGGATCATACGGTTCTTTCAGAAAACCTGCCGCAAATCAAAGTCTTGTGTGAATTTACAGGTTATCTAAGAACAAATCACCTTTCACTTTGAATAGGAAATTGATAAGTTAAGAGGAGTGTAAAAAAATAAATAAATAAATCTGCCGTTTACGTGATTTTTATCACAAATTTTAGGTCTATTGGTTTCTAATGCTTTCCCAGCGTCTGCTTGTAACACGTTTTATACCGTCTAAGTGTTTTAGAATTTTATTACTATTGTTAGATAACGTCATGACCAAGACATATAACGATTTACTTTATTCCGTTGGTACAAACTATTAACAAATTCTAATCAAAAGTAAGCCATGTAGTTCAAAATTAGATTAATTTTATAAATACCTTATAAATAAATAGGAATCTAAACCTATAATGATCGGAATGCATTGAAGCAGTGCTAATGATATTTTCGGACGTAATTCCAAAAAAAGGACACTGTTGAAGACTTATATAGTGTATGCTACAGTACAACCTGTTTTTTAAATCATATTTAATATTTTTCATCAAAAATAAATTGCTAATATGCAGATCAAAGGATATGAAAATTAATTGTAAATAAAGTGTCATCAATAAAGCTGAATATTTTTACAGGTCAATATTGTTGACTGCTTTTGTTGGTCAATATTGTTGGGTGTTTTTATAGATATTAAAGGAATGCAGAAATCTGTGAAACTAATTTGTACATATTATAGATTTTACTCCATTAAGAGAAATCCCCCAACTCTGTTATTTAATGGAATTAAAGTAATTTGTTTGTTATTGGATCTATCTGCATAATGTTATAGTTTGTTAGTTGTATTACATTTAGTTGATGTAGTTAAATTATTTCTTTTTAAAAGTGTAAACAGATATTATGTGAATCGTATTTTAAAAAGTTTTTTTACTGAGATATGTATATAAGCATACGATGTTTTCTGTATATAGTTTCTTTTTTAAGTTCATGATATCCAGAACAAAAGGATATTTATTTTTCTGATTACGTTTTGAAAGAAGACACACACAATATGTAAAATAATTCCTTAGTTTATCTATCCGTGATTGTAAATTAAATATTACATTAAGTATTATTAAATGTTCTTTTAAATATTACAAGTTATAAGCTGTCCTTAGCATTTTATTTTAAAGTTGCTGTAACAAAACTATAAGTTGAAATCTAAACAACAGATGGCTCTACGAGTTTGTAGAATGGTACACATTGAAAACATAAAGCACCTTATTTCATATTTGGTCAAATAACTTAACCATTAGTTTATGCAAATAAACAACGAATGTTACTTGATAGGATTTTATAATAAGTCATTATATCGTGAAATAGAATTTTATAAGTTCATTTTAAAACGGAATTAAATCTTCAAAATGGATATTCCAAATTAATAAACTAATAAAAAGTAATCACTTTCCGTAAATCCCGCAGAAAAAGAAATACTGCAAATAAACAGCCTATAAAGATTAACAAAGTGTAATAGCAATACACTTAATTTATTAAATACTGGCATGTACAATGGACTAATTTCAATATAAAAATCTACATGACACGTAATGCAACATCAAACAATGTCCTTTTTCATTTTAATACAGCAGGATCACAATGAGTTTAACAACTACTACTGAGGTTTCAGAACATTTTTTTAAGGTATTATTTCACACCCACAGTTTAAGTAAAAATAAAACTATTTCATTTCTTCAAGAAAAAACGTTTGTTACTGGATTATTCCAATATATACCTTAAGCAACTGCGCTTTCATGTTGCACATGTAAGAACGTAACGAAAAATGCTCACTTTCATTTAAACAAAAGATAAAAATGACCATCAAACAACAGAAAAACTTACAAGATAAGCTATATGATTGGAGAATAGAACCCTTTATCTAATTTTTAATCACAATCAACTCTTACGTTACGGTGGTCAGACTTAGGCATGAATAAATCTGAGGTATAATAACCTCTAGTTACGCGTGATGCTCTCTCTCTCTGTCAAGATTTGAAAGATCATCAATGAGGAAAGGAGGAGGGGAGGAGGAGAAGCTTTACATTTAACAGATCCAGTTGATTTATAATGTCCTTGGATAACCTTTATCTACGGCATCTATAAGTTCTCTGTGTCAGTGATTTAATTATCAAGTTACATATCTATAAACAGATCCTAAGCTGTGACGTGATATATTAAATTCCGCCATATTTATGAGAATAACTATGTTAAGTGTACGCTCTAGGAATAGGAATGGGTTCCAAAATTACAGTCATCTGGCTTGAAGAAGCATTTTCTAAGAAACGTAAGTAATTTAACATGACTCATCATATGACCATTTGTTGTCGTCATGATGACGTCACGTTCATGTAATCATAATAATTAGCGACAGTCCCCCACTCGTTGAAATAATATCAGTTTTGTCAAATGAATGTTTTACAATGATTAAGGCTTGTCATAACACGTCAGGTTCTATAAAAACATTCGACTGTTGTAAAAAAAAAAAGAAAAAAAAAGGTAGGTAACGATATTTCTAAAAGAGATATATCCGTGACATTTATTACCTTCAAACTCTCACAATTTAAATATTTCCGACTTACTGTGGGGCAGAAAGACTCTCTCTTATATGAAGCTATCATATGAATTTAAAAGTAAATCAATAAGTAAGGTGGGGCATATCAGATACCTCCAGATTTATTTATGACACTACAAACAACACTTCACTGATTCTAATTACGTTTGTTTTGTTTCATTGTTTTAGCACAAAGCAACAAATTGGGTTAACTGCGACCCATCTGCTGCCTGTATAGAACCCTGAATTATAGCGTTATAAGCCCCCTGTAGCTTACCGCTGAGTAGCTAGGGATGTGTGTGTTCTAATAACGAAATTCAAAATACATGATCCCCCCCCCCCTATCTGAAGTTCTATAACGCTAAAACACGGGTTTTAATACCTGTGGTGGGCACAACACAGATAGCCCATTTTGCAGTTTTGTATTTAACAACAAATAAAACACGATAAATATATCTTATATACAGTTTTTCAAGGGTTTGTTTGCTTGTTTCAAATATTTGCGCAAAGCTACATAAAGTAGTCCCTAACTTTGAGCTGAACAGATTATAGGGAAGGCAGCTAGTCAACAACACCGACCGCCAACTCTTAGGCCACTTTAATATAATACCGGAATTTGACTGTCACTCTAATAACGCACTTACTGGCCGCGAATCACGAATTCTCGGATTCACAGTTCAGTACGCTAATGTTATTAGATGAGACCTAGAATTATCTCTTTATGACTAGCGGGGCTTGTTAGTATTAACTTTGATATTTTATGAAGCACAGGTAACGTGATATTCCGATATCTCCATGACTTTAACATTCGGTTTACTACTATGATACAGTCACGTGAATCAAAACTATAGTCGGATGATGACTTAAAAATATTACAACTCACTCTCTAAGTTAATTACTGTGGCTTTCGCTAGGTGGAGATACGTGTCTTACAGACGTTATTTTGTAAGCTATGTTTTTTGTTTAATACATATATCTACACTGTAGGCTATCAGTGCTCCCCAGCCCACGGGTCGAGCCCCGAACGTTAATTTACAACCCTTCAGCCACCAGGAAGCAGAATGAAACGTACACAAAATTATCTTTTATGAAAACTAATAATTCAAGAAACTTACAGATGGGGCCTCCTGTGAAAAATTTTAAGCAATTAGTAAATTTGTTTAAAAATTAACTCTTATACTTTTTTAGTCCTAAAACATATACACACGCTTGTAAAACTACGTATAATAAGCAAATGTTAGCTTGTAGCTATTAAGTTTAACACTATATGACTGTGTTCTAACCCTGTTGAAGAAGACTACCTAATAATATCATAAATAACATTTTATCAAAAGTCCCCCAGTGGCCCAGGTTAAGCTTAAGGATTTATAACGCCAAAACTCCGGCGTTCGATCCCCGTGTTTGTCACGAAGCAGATAGCTTTTTGCGATATAACAAAAACTTTTCTTTCATCGAGTGTGTGTGTGAGGGGGTTGACAATTAAGACATCCATTTCAGCACTGACTATTTGAAGTTCTGTAAACTTATCACTGTCGGTCATAATTTTGGTATTTTAAGCACAGAAAAATACTCAAGTAAAGTGTTATCATTACCAACCAAAACGTTTACAAATCTCGATTGGGGTTTATGAAAAAGTCGAGAAAGCATCTGCCTCAATTCGTTAAGCCAGTGACAAAAGTGGTTTCAAAGCGCCCTCTAGTAGTAAGACATTGCAAATTAAAGTTAAAAACTAGTAGAATACAAAAGAGCATTTTGTAATATTGTGTATATATACACACACAATCATTAAACAGTTGGTCCACTGTATGTCATAACATTATTCACATACCTGAATTAATTTAGGTTACTAACTTAGTATATGGTGAAGTAAAACAGATTCAAAACCCTATAGATATTTTGGAATATCTTTCTTTTGGGTAAATTACATTTCAAATATTCTATAGTTCACACTAAACCAGGCATTGTTAAATAAGCAATAATAAGTACCTACTTTGACACAAATAAAGTGTAGAAATAAAGAAAAAATAATTGAATATATATATATATATATATATTTGAAGAATGTAAAAATCAAATGCTATGCCATTCTATATATTCACCATTCGTATCTACAACTTTGTAGAGGAAACTTTCCATCCACATAAAATGAAACATGTACAATGCCTTTAAATTTAACTTATATAATCTGAAAATATACAACGCTTAATTACAAATTAAAGTTAGATAACATACAACGCTTACAAATGCAAGTTACATAATCTTAAAAATATACAACTCTTACAAATTAAAATTACATATTCTTCAAAATTTACAACGCTTACAAATTAAAGTCATACAATCTACGAAATATTATGAATGAAAATATTGTACCAAATTAACAAATTAAGTACTCGAAATTTTGTTATAAAAGAAACGTTTGTGACAAAATTCTGTAAATCATTCAAGGGATTTCTATAAAGCATGCATACTTTATTCTTTAAAGGCAAAGGAAGCAAGAGCTACAAACGAGCTGTTTGTCTAAGGCATTATAGGAAGTCTCTTGAGCCACACCAAATGCCATTTTACATATAATTTTGGGGGTAACTGACCCTTTAGTAAGTCGAATTCTAATGAGAATGAGTTATAGAACAGAAGAAATTTACTTTAAATATTTTGTAAAGTCACAAAATCAAAAAATAATTTCTATATAAAAAAAAAAGAAGAAGAATAGAGATTTCTAATACATCAATCAGTGATTAGTTAACAAATATTTGGTTCTTGCAAGTGATGTAGTTTAGATAAATGAAAAAAAAAAATGTTTAAATTAAAATCATTTTTGTGTCTATTATGAGTGGCGGAAGATAGACCAAATTATGAATTGCTATTTATGTTGAAAACATTTCACAACTTAACTAATAACATCTTTTTATAAAAGAAGCCAAAATCTATTATTCCAATCATTTTATTTTGGCAAAAGAATGCTTACAAAATTTTGGTATCTTATTATGTGTTTCTAGGTGCTAAACATTGATATGATTTGATCATATTCGCCACCATCCACACCGAACCAAACAAATGTTCAAAATAAGAAACTTTTTACTGAATGTATAAAACAAAGCAGGTGATGTTAACCATCAAAGCAGAACATTATTACACACATTAAGTGTACTGGAAGTGGCATGGCTTGGTGCCTTGAACCCTTAGTTGAAGAGTTGTGAATTTGAGACTTACCCATGCCATATTATTGTCTCCTTGGGTAAGATGCTTTACCCCAAGTGCTGCAGTTTATCCAGCTGTATAATGGGGGAGAGGGTAGTAGCTGGAGGTTAAATTCTGATGAATTAGCATCCCATTCTTGCACCTTAAGAAAAAGGTGCCTTATTTGCCTTTTAGGCACAAAAAGGGTTAACTTCCTTAGTTAATTACATTTATGTGTATATTTAACATGGGCAATTAACATAGTTAGAAAAAGGTGTAAGAATACTGTGTTAAGAGAAACACACATCTTCCTACAAATCAATTATAGCTTTTGTAGGAACTGAAATTATTAATTCCACGTTTCACTTTCAAAAGATTATTATCAAAATCATTATTTTCTATAATGATTGATAACTATACTAGTGTTATTTTCACAATTCATTCATATACGTCACTACAGTGAATTTATTTATTGAATCATTTTATAGTCTCCAAGTGTCAGGTGGATATAGTCATCTGGAATGGTGCACTACATTTTTTAAGTGTGGTGGTTATCAATAACTATTTGTTATTATTATCTTTTCCTTTTGTTTTAAAACACTTCCCTTATTATTATACTTGAAAAAAACTCACAGTATCTAACGTATGTGAGTGAAAGATACAAAATTAAATGTGAAAGCAATATTAATATTTCATTAAATTTATTTTTTATTCCACTACATTTTGAACAAAGATCTTCCGTTAGGACTGTCATGCATAAGGACAATGAATAGAGGTTTTTTAACTCTTGGAAGATGGAATCATTGCAACAAATTTACGATATCTTCTATTAACAAAAATAGAAGAAAATTATTTCCACAATAACAATTTCTGTGATAAAATGCATTAATTTTCATTCACATAAAAAGTTTGTTCAGCTGTTAAAGTTTCAGTTCAAAGGAATAAAATAATTGCTTCAATATTGAGCTTGATTTGTGAGATCTCAAGATTTATTTATACTTACTGACTTGTCATAAACATGTACCAGTTAAATTAAGCCATTTAGGAAGAGTTGTAGCCAGACTTTGAGAAATAAATAAAGTTTCAAGTAACATAAGGCCTGCCTAAAGCCTAAAATAATCCTAATTATTTGCAGTATGATCAAACCTCAGATTTCAGATAGACTTTGTCTTCTTAAAAACATTTACTACTTACAAACAAACCTTATTCTAAAAAGTTCTGAGATGACACACAATATCAACATTATATCACCTTGATCTTCTTCCTGCTTCATACAGATGAACATTGGAGCGGCAGGATGACATAAAAACTTATTAAATGGCATCGATTGGTAACCGAAACGAACTGACAACTTGTGCATTATAAACACAGACATTATTCTTCATCACTTTCACCTTGTCCATACATGTCAGCTAATTTGGAAAATCGTGGTCCCCAGTCTGTGAGATAATCAAAATCTTGCTCATTGTCCTCGGTAGTAGATGCTAGAGAACTCAATGAGCCAGCAGAACTGCCACTTCCTTCGTACGCATAGTTCCTAAGATCATCATAAGGTGGAGCACTGGGATCACTGTCTGTTTTTCGAAGCCTATCAAATAATAATTCTTCACCTGAGATGGGATACTGACCATAATGAACTTGTGGTAGTTGATCTAAATAAAAAAACAACAACAACAACAACATGGATCAGTCAATCTAACTTAAAAAACACTTCAAACAAACTAATAAATACTTTCTGATATATTACAACTGTTTTTAGAATGTAATTAAATAGTTTTAATGTAAAATACTTTTGTAAGAAAAATTTAAATTGTGCGTCAGTTTCTTTGAAATGAACTGTAGAATTACACGTTAACAGTAAATGAAGTACAACCACAACAATATATACTGCAAAGTGTGCATATCTTCAATCTAATCAAAAATGAACTAAAAAAAAATTATTTTTAGTAGCTTATTATAATTTATATTTTCTGAATATATTCTTATTCTGATTTTTTCTTATAAAGCACTTCTTTATGTGATAAATTCCTCTCCATTTTGAATAGAGTAGTTTAATTACTGCCAAGTTAAATATAGAAACTTACCAGAAAAATTAAACATTTTTGAAGCTAGAATAGGTAATAAAATAACTTTAAAATATGTAAAATTTAAGTAGTGATTGAGCTAAGAGAATACTTAATAAGTCTTTATATTGTTGCTAAATCAATTTACTTCTAATCTGGTAAGTCTTGATTCTAAGTAAATGCTTTTACTAACACAAACAATTATGACTTATGTTTAGTAAAACCCCTGATGATTAACCTTTTCTTTCATCTTCTTGTGGTTGGATAATATGAGGCACAGCAACAAGAGAGACATCTGGTTGTGTAATGTTGGGATCCACTGGAACTTTCAATATATTTCTGTTAAAGCCAATCATGTCCTCCTCGCCTCCTCCCTCATCAGCATAGGTGATGACATTCTCTCGAGTGTCATCTCTTATGTATGAATTAATTTTTTCTTTTGGTTTATGATTCTTGGTATACACCACAATGATGAGTACTAAAACTGAAAGAAGAAACTTCCCATTGGTTTAAAAACGAAAATTAGTTGACTGTTAGCTCTTTTATGTAAACTGAAAGCTTCCAATACCTTTTCATTGATATAGGTTAACCTCCTTATAGTCAATGTGTAAAAAATTACAATTTTTGGTTCTGGTTCACAAGGTAAATATGTTAATGAAGTCTCTTCCCGTGTTCATATGCACAGTCGTTTATTTTGTTTTATAGAAAATTTCAGCAATACATAACATAATGCCCATATACAGAATGTGTAAAGATTGTGATGGAAGTTTGCATTTGCAGATTAAATTCCGATTTCACTTATTACACTATCATATTAAAACAGTTATAAGATTTCTGATTTGAAATGGACAAAGCAATCATTTATCACTTTAGTTTTAAATACGAAAAACGAATCTTCACCAAAAAATACACATTTAGTAGTTTAAACTATTAGAAACACTTGTTCAGTTAACTAACTTTTTTCAAATTACAGATATATCCCACACAAGTGACAACAAAGTTTGTACAGACTGTTTTAAAAACCTGTCATACAAAGAAAACACCCACCTAAGATAAACAACAAGCAGACCAGAATGGCTGCTAAGGCACCCATGCTAAGTTTAATGGCATTGGCTTCCACAAGTATTTTACAGTCGATACCAGTGTATCCATCAGAGCATAAACAGTAGAAACCTTTTCCACCTGGTAGATCCACACATCTTCCACCATTAAAGCAGGGATCAAAAAAACATTCATCAGCATCCGTGCAGTTTTGTCCATCTGGGGTCTTCACAAACCCATCAGGACACCTAGAGGATGCAGTAAGAAATGATGTCACACAACAACAAAATAGCCTTGAAAAGTAAAGGGTACATGAAGGTAATCTGACTGAAAATATGCCAAAGTTCTCTGCAGGAATGTGGAAAAAACTATCTATTCTGACCTTTGGAAACCATAACTTTTCAGGTTTAATGAGAACAAGCAATGGGACAGCTGAGATGGACCAATAGGTCCTATTTTGTCCCAAAACATTATGTTATCTATAAATCCTTTGAAGAAAAGTTCTGTTTGTTTGTAGTACACTTTCACATCTGCAGTAAAAAATAACCAACATTCTCGATAATGCTTACACACACACAATAGTCATGCTCTTAAGTTGATTTCTATGATGATAAAAAAAAGACAATAAAATGGAACTTCTTCTGACTTTGCAGTAGACAGCAACATTAGAAACAGTACATCACTAATGTATTGTACTTCTGGAAGATATGAGGATTTGAATGCATACAGTGAAAATAAAATACATTAAACTTTTTTAGAGATCCAGATTAACGTTAACGAGCTGATTCATCACTAAAACTTCTGTGGTGTGATTAATTCACAGATTAAGAACTGGAAAAACTAACTCAAATCAACATTAGCTAAATGCAAATGTGTTTTAATTTTAAAATGTCATTTTAGCCAAGATACACTTTTCACTCACTTGAAGAAGGGCATCCTCCCTTGAAATATCACTTGTGATAAAGAAACAACAAATGTTATTTAATTAATGGTTGTTTGGTGTTAGTTTTTCCATGACCATACAAATGCAGCATAGGATAAAAAAAACATTTTTATTAATATGTTACTTAGAACTAAATTTTCTTCTAAACAGCTACACAATTTATGTAGAAAGACATGTCATAAATACTATAGTATTCAAACTTTGGTACTAATTGGCTCATTAAAAAACAACTAAAACAAAAAATATTTGAACATACTGATGATGGACACAAAGCTCCATTGCAATGAATTACGTACTTACAATTACTTACTTATTTACAAGTTACAATGACAAACTTACTAAGTTATGGAAGTTCTAATATTGAATTTTAATGCTGCTTATTGTTCCTTTACATTGTATTCATAGAAACTTAATATGAAACTAGCAATTTTAATGGGTTATATAATTAACTAATTTTCACAAATTAACCCTCACATTTACTGAAACACCAACACTTTCACTAATAGATGGACACATGTAACAGGACGACATGTAGTAAATTAAAAGAACTGAACCCGCATTCGTGAAGTAGCCAAATATCTCTACAGAAGAAGGGAGGTGGACAGATGACCCCTTTACACGGGTAGTTAGATGGACATCCATGGATCAAGTTGTTCCATTCTATTACTGCAGCATTTTCAGAGCCATTCTCCATGGGCAGGAAACGTTTGTTTAACCGAATATCACTTATGCAACCTAAATCGTACAGGGCATTCAGAAAATGTATAAATTACTTTTCTCATAAACCACAAAATATTTTTGTTAACAATACGATCATACTTGGAAAACAAAATCCCTACTATATGCATATATTGCAGGAGTTAGCAGATTCTAGTCACTTTCTAGCAAAAATATATTTTCAAATTTTACAAAAAATGATCAAAAAATACTTCAAAGCATAATTTAGAGAGAGTTTTCTTCCAGATGATCTAGTAGAATATGGGCAATGCAGTATTTAAACTCCATATTTCTGTGTACATTCAAGTCATTCTAAAGCTACAATAATTCAACACTGGATCCTGGATTAAGATTTGTTGGGTCTATAAGTGCCCAATAATGCTAGATCTATGACTGATATTTGTTGGATGTGATAATAATGGTTATGACTAATTTAATTATTAAACACAATTTCAGACAGATATTAGATAAACTTTCAATACTGACTATTGTTAATCCAGGATTGAAATAATACTAGATCCATAATAGCCCCCCAGTGGCACAGTGGTATGTTTGCAGATGTACAACACTAGAAACCGGGTTTCTTTTAAGCATGTGTGTGAATTGAACAGAATATGTGAACAATTTTTGGATTTCTATGAAAAATAAGTTATTTTGCTACAGAAGTTGAAGCCTAAAGTTATGTCTAATCACTGATTCAAAGACAAATAATCTCATCCACCTGAACCTCACCAGTTTTCTTCTTTTGAAAAATGTATTTTTTTAATGTTGGATCTGGTTGTCTTTCCATTTATGTTTAAACAGAAGTCTACACAAAAGGCTATCTGTGCTGTGTCCACTATGTGTATCAAACCCAGGTTTTTAGCATTATAAGCCTCATGCTTACTGCTGAGCCATCAGGGGGCATTAGATCTTTGAAATCTGAATGATCTGTTAATCAATATTTATTTTAGGCTATGTAAAACCTTGTATTATAACAGAAATTAGGGTTCACAGAAAATTAGTGACATACTTTATAAGGAGTGGTGGGAGTATGAGTCTCTGAAAAAGCATGGGAACTTTGGAAAATAGTTTTCAAGTGCAAAATAAGAACTGGAACTGAAATTTTTCATCATCATTTTTATCTAGTTGAAGAACCAAGAATATGCTAATTTCCATAGAACTTAAAGGACTCTCTTGAACAGATGCTTAGTCATTAATAAGAAAATAACAAATAAAGATTATTTTAAGGAATTACAAACCTTCCTGGAAGTCATTATCCACTAAAGTTACCCCTGGACCAACATATTGAACATCACCTCCAGCAACAACATTTTGTTTTTCAATCTCCATTTCCTGGTGTTGCTTCTCATAATCTAGCAGCTCATTGTAACGACGTCCACCTCCACCATCAAGAGTGATACTGGCTGTGCTCCCATGTCTCAAGACTAATACTGAATGCCATTGACCATCACTGACCATAACGTGGGGTAGCCAAATCTCTCTTTCATCTGTTGTTCTATAGGGATTCAGATTGAACCGAAGTCGAAGTTTTTTGTCTTTTATCTAGAAACAAAAAGACATACAGACAGTGGAATTTGAAAAAAAAAACATAATAAAAAAAATATCACACTAAATATAAAATATAAGTTTTTGAAATTCCATAAACATTTGCTACAAAGAACTATAGTTAAATAAAGATAACAAAACAGTGTAACACTATTTCAACAATAAACCTAACCAAACCTAAATAAACATAAAAAAACAGTTATCAATAATATATGTGAACATTACACAGAAATGATTCATTATATCAAACCTGTAAACAGCAGCAGATAATGATGTTTCTAAAGTAACAATTATTTCAAAATATTTCGTTAAAAATTATCTATACGGCCAATCAATCTCATAAAGTCCCTAAAATGATGGTTGCAAGGAGTTGAGACAATGTACGTTTCTACCATTAAGAATTTCTAACATAAACTACATATTAGGAATCTTTGCAATCAGTTCTTATGTGTACATAAGTTCAATATATAGACTGTAATATACCCAGAGTTTTCAAAAGCTAATTAAGTCAACAACACTATAGAGTGCTTTTAGTAGTATATCCTGTGGTGTGAAGGACCTTTTTCTTTTAATTCATTAGGTATTAATAAACACAAATATCCCTGTAAAAACCGTTTTTACTGCTTACTATAAAAGCATTAGAAACAGTGAAAAATAGATAATAAGTCAAGTTAGTTAACAGAGTTAACATAAATTGTTACAAATTTGCAAATTAATATAACATACTAGCTCACTGAGGAGAGTATAGTTTTTATATTTAAAACAAATCACTTTTGAAACACATGTTTAAATGTTTTAGATCAAGAGCTGAAAATAGTTTTAAAGAAATTCTAAAACATACAGAAACATACTTACTTCTAGGATAAAATACTCGCGACTATGCTTGCTGGTAGCTCTGAAAAGCTCACCATCCTTTTGTCTGGTTCGGAACTGTAGCTGAATGTCTGTTTTATATGGGTTTGGTGTAAAGGAAAGGGCATACTTAATATAACTGCTTTGTTGAAACATTTTGGACTGAGTTGCTGAAAAAAACAAACAAAAACGTTTCTGTTAACTTGCTTTTTTACATACTTGTTAAAAACAAAGCTAATGTTTTTATTAAATTTGATTCAAAACAAAACTAATAAGTGATAATTTCAGAATCATGATAATTTATAATTGAATTTTTATAAACTGTAATTTAATACAAAGTGCAGGTATTTCTTTTGGGTAAATGAAGAACCATGCCTACTAGAATTATAAACTCGTGTTTATTACACTAGAAATCCCTCTAATTATGTCATTGATGCATACTTACATTCATGACAATTATAAATCTTGCCAGCTAAGGTTACATATGTATAATAATATTCATTATAGTGAGAGCCTTGTTAACCTAAGAGACATATGAGTACTTACACTTATCAAGGCCAGGGCTATGTCTGGCAAGAGGACATGTTCATACTAACATTTACCATAAAGAGGATCTTGTCGGGCAAGTGGATGCACACTTAAGTTTATTATGTACTACAGCAAGAATTTTGCAATTAGGCTGATCGACAAATATGAACTTACGCTTATCACAGCGAGGACCTTGCCATCCAGGGTGACAGATACAGAAAGCTGTATAATATGATGCTTCACAATAGCCATGTTCACAATTTGATGTGATATTGTTATCAAAACATTTCCTATCAGCTGGTGAACATCCAGCCTGGCTTCCAGCTGAGCTTCCAGGAGAAGCCAGGTCATAAAACTAGAAAACAATTATACAAAATTACAAATCTAATATAACCCACATCATGTTGCTCTTAATTAAGTTTTGTCTCATAAATAATTATTTACCAATTGTAAAATAATTATATTTTTTAAGCTAGATATTATGTGTCAGTCACTGTAAGTTGTTTATGTTTTAAAGTCTATAATTTGGACTCACTGTTTGATTGTTGTTAAGTGCAAAGCTACATGATGGAGTATCTGTACTGTGCCCACCATGGGTTTTTGGCATTATAAGCTCACTGACCTACTGCTGATCTAGGGATGGGTTGTAGACTCACTGTTTGTGTAGGCAAAGTATGAAGTAAATCACAGAGAAAAAGCTATATTCAGGGGAGCATGATCCCCTCATTCACTCCAAATCTTTATAACTAGAGTGGCAATTTGAACCTGTTGTGATGCAGTGGAGGTTAAAGATATGATGAAGATTATGAAAAAAAAAAGACATAAGAATTTAATGTGAAAATACAATTTCTTAAGGCAAATTTAACAAACTTATAATGCTGAAGTGCTAAGATGGAATATGTTTTTATCAGTAATTTTAAATCTTTATATATATATATATTTACAAAAGTTGAATTACATTTTAAGATGAAAAATCACCTTTCAAGTAATTGATTCTCATGTTACTTACATCCTTACAGTTAATTTGATTTACTGCCAAGAACTACACTGTACATCTATACAATTGAATGAAAATAGGTGTTGGAAATAAAATGTTTTTGTGGGCAAAGTTAGAAGCAAATTACAGAGAAAAGCTATGTTCAGGGGAGCATGATCCCCTCATTCACTCCAAATCTTTACAACTAGAATGGCAACTTGGGCCTGTTTTGGTGCAGTGGAGGTAAATGATATGATGGAGATTATGAAAAAAATAAAAACAACATGAGAAATTAATGAGAAAATAAGCATTTTAATAATTATCTTACATTATATTCTATTTTATAGAACTTTCAGGCTAGTGTAAGCACACCTGTACATCTGAAACATTTATTGATTAATAAATAATAAGGTTCCCTTATTTGAAACTTTCTAATGATTATGGATGTGGTGGTGGGTTACTAAATTATACCATTCTTATTTGACATGCAAGTGTAGATAAAAATTAAGTATTTATAAAGAGCAGTCAAAAAATGCAAGAAATATAACAAAGGCAAAATTAGGGTTACAAAGATACAAAATGACAAGAAAACTGAGTTTAAAATGTGTTTCTTACCATACTATTGTGAATAACATTTCTAATACATCCATCAAATCCACTGCGCATATGCTGGTAATTCCATTTAAAGTTCAGAATTTTATGGTGGACTCCTCCAAGCTGTAAAGGGCCATTCACATTAAGAAATTCGTTAAATGGGGATATTGTTCCTGTTCCTTCACACCTGGATCTGTCAGTGGTTGGTGGGTCTGTGTTCTTGTGGTGAGAATCAATGCAGTGGTCTACCATCATGCGCACATTCTGGGAAAAAAGAAGGTAATGAAACTAGTTTTACTGCCCAAAGGTACACCAGTGTGGTCTTATGTTTAAATTTTTAGAATTAAATGCACTGTGCATTTTACCTAATAACTTATAATTCTCAAGAGTGAATACCTCAAGTAAAGCTTTCCTCTTGAGGATTTCAATAATTTTTTTGTTCTTCAGATCTCCTATTTTTTACAAATTTATATCTTTTACGTGTAAATTGAGTGATCTTCTCCAAAAATTTTTCATAATTTTATTTGCTTCTTTCTCTTACCCTCTTAAATCTTTTACTCTGGCTTATTATACTAGCATTCATAAATTTTTGGCCATTTAAATTTCAAACTTGGCTATTATATTTATATTGTCGTAAAAATGGAATATGTTAACTTCTACTTTATTTTTTAACATTTTTATAGTACTTACTCAAGTCTTTATCCAAGTAATTATTTTACCCATAATTAACAACATTTGAAGCCCCTTCAGTTTTTTGGTACTCTAAAACAGTGTGTGTGAACAGAAGTCATGAAGATATAAATACGTATTTATAACAGTTATTACATACGACAAAACACAAAACAGTACAGTTTTGTTATTTAGGTTCAGTAGCTGATGGTAAGCATAATAAAAAAAGAAAAAGAACAGTGGATAACTTAGTAAATTTTAAGTGAGATTGAAGAATAGCCTTTTTTTTACTGTTTTAATTGTACTTTTCAGTTATAAATTTTAGACAGAATGATAGTTAGGGAACTAAACTTTAACTCTCCCCTAAAGCAAAATAGGTACTATTGCAGCTTTACCCATGTTATTAGAGGCTGTTGAGTAACATTTTAACCCTCATCTTAACTCTCAATCTGTTTTTATATCATTTACATCCAGAGTGGGTCCACATATTACCTCATACTGAACAATTTTGTATTTTTAGCCATTACAGCACATAGTGTAAAGAACTAACAAAATAAGCTGGATAAAATTATTCACTTTTCTGTGTAAAACACACAGTGAACCCCAGCTGCAATTAATATGATTAACTGCAATACTAATGGTACATGTGTTTAAATTTTTGTGTGTGGTTCATGCATTATTAGGGGTCCTGTAATCAACAATCGTGGACTTACTAGTACCTTTCTGCAGAAATAGTTTAGAAAAAATGTGTTTACTAGGGTTAAATAAAAGTGTTATTTATATTTGAAATTAAGGATCCTAGTTTTTTAAGCACAAAATTGTGCTTGTTCATTTCTGGAAATGAATATAATCTTCTGCTTAGTTTCACCTTCTGTTGAATAGTTCATATTGGTGACAAAATACATGTGGAAAAAATACACATACAGTAAAAACATTAGTACCTCTCTATCCCAGAATATGTCCAGTTGGTGCCAGGACCCATCATTTAAGGGCTTTACTGTATTAACTGTAACCTCTGTAGTACCAGAACCAAAATCGATGAGCAATCTTGGTCTTCCTTTCCCAAGTTCTAGCGATACAAAATCTTGAATGCCTTCCTCTTCAGTGTCGGGTTCAGAAATAGGTCCGTTGTAGAGAAGTAACCCATTTTCTGACTTAGTCACAAACTCTATACTGAGGTGAGAATTTTCACACTGTTCCAGTGGAGGGAACCAAGCCCATCCATTTCCATTGAAAAAACGAGTTGTTTGCTGACACTGTGGACCTTTGAATCCTTGTGGGCAATGACATCTATGATATTAAAACTCAAGTTATAACATCGTACATCTCAATTACATCTACGCATATGCCCCCTCTATCTGTTTTCCTTCATATACATCAGTGTGTTTAAATTTAATGTTCAAGTGAAATAAAAAACAACAACACAGATACAGATATTGAAGTCAGTACTATGTCAATCTCATTAAGTCCATTGTTTTTATCAGTGTTAGGTTTATCATATCAGTTGAACCAAATAACTGGCAGAATTTTACAGTGAAAATGAAACTACAATATGTATATATATATGTATATATATATTCAAGAAAAGGACTGTATTGATGAAGTATTTCATTGTTGTCTTTACCTTCAAATAATTATTAGACAACAATGCACATATCAAGGATCACAAATGTATGTTTGTAGCTGTATATAGTTCAGATAAGTCAGGTATACCAAATGTTGCTGTTGTCATTATTCCAGAAGCTATGTTTGGTCTGTGAGGTACAAAGAACATATTTAATGGTACTTTATTGTACCAGAACAAGGTATGCACAGGAAGAAGGAACCACTTCATAGCTGACCATTACAAGCCATACACAAAAAATAGGAACCTTTTCGTATGGGTTACACTTAGTGGACAGGTGTACAGCACCTTCATACAATTAAAAACTAATGCAATTTTTAATACTTTCACCAACAATTTGTTTCCAGTTATCATACTAGATAGATTTACAATAGAAAATGCAGATTTCTTAAGCTGATAAACAACTGTTTGAAATGAAAGTACTTGAAATTATGGTAAAGCTACTAAGTCTATCTGCTGACCAAAGGGAAGGCAGCTAGTCAGCAGCAACCTATCAGCCACTATCCACATTGTCACTCTTAAAATGCTTCAAGTGCTAAAAATATTTTTTTGGTACTACATGGATTCAAACCCACCTCACCGGCTTCAAAATACAAACCTCTACCATGAGGCCACCTGTGACTCAAATGTGAAAAAAAGAAACTTTCATCACCAATTCTGAGAATGACAAATATTAAATTTAAAAAAATATGTTCTTTGCATAGTATTCTAGCTTCTTTCTGAGATCTGGCCTTTAAAAATATTAAAGTATACTAGAAGCTGTTATCAATAATCCTAGGCTCTGTTCGAGGTATTTTTTTTAAAAATTTAGAATACTCGAAAATGCCAATTTTTACATTTTTGAGAAAATTGTTAGATGAAAACTATGAATAAAATCTACTCACTTTATGCCACTTCCAATGACTTCACACCTTCCACCATTAAGACAAGTTGGAGGATGCTTTTGACAAGTTTCAGGCTCTGAGAACTCTCGAGCTCCACATGCACATTGAGGTTTCACCCAACTATTGATTCCAACAAATGCAGTTTTGTTGGCATTTACGATGACTGGGTGCTTCTCGACCACAAGTTTGTTGGTGCAGCTACCTTCACAGTTAACATTTTCATATAAACACTCATCAATTCCTACCATGATAATGTTTATACCTACTGATTGTTCAATCTGGAAAAAAAAAAAGTTGCAAAGTACTCATCATTTCCTACTGTAATATTTATATCTATCGATTTTTCAACCTGGAAATAAAAAGTTGCAAAGTACTCATCATTTCCTACTGTAATATTTATATCTACTGATTTTTCAACCTGGAAATAAAAATTACAAAGCATCCAAAAGTTCACGACTAAATTATGTAAAGTTACTAAAGAATTTGTCTTTAATAATAATTAGGATTAAAAAATAAAACTTGATATAATTTGTCAGGTTATACTAAAACCCATAGGACAAATAAAACCTTCTTTATTAGATAAGGCACTACATAAATCAGAAACTAACATCAGCACAGAAATGTTTCAATATATATATACTTTAATATCTAATTTTAGTTTAATTCTTTATGTACATGACAAAACATTAATTAGCTGTTCATAGGCAAAGCCTAAATAAATAGCAAATAAAAATCAATATAAAATAATTTCACCAAATTCTTACTAATTTCATATGACAAAAATTTGCATCCAACTATATTTATATACATACAGAATATCTTGATTTAAATAAACTTAGAAACACTAGACATGATTAAAATTTCAAATAATGTGACACTGGATTCTTATAGAATACTGGAAAAGTTTTAAGTTACCAGTTCTCTGTTTAAGTCTACTGCTCCATTCAACATACTGGCCTTGTAGTATGGAGAACCATGAGCAGCAAACCTTAAGTCTGCTATAGGAGGCCGTTCCTGTTTCGGATACACAGTAAAAATGTTGATGTTTCTGCGATCTATTTTTAAGATTCTCGCCAACGTGTCTCTGAACTTGTCAAACTTGCTCTTTTTCACTACTTGGCTCTTCCAATCCAAAACACGCACAAAGTCCTCAGCAGAAGTTCCTAAAGAATGTTTGAGAGTTATTAGTTGTTGAGTATTTTTGATGCTTATTAGGAAAATACTGAAAAAGAAGGATGAAAAATACAAGAAGTTTTTATTAATATTTAGGATAAGAACAGTTAAGGTTCTTTTTTTTATGTTACAATGTTTAACCATATTTAAAAAATAAACTTCCAAAAGCTAGGTCTCACACTTACCAAGGATTCTGATAGATCCAGAATTGTAGATGGCTTCTTCTGGAATTTCTTGTACTGTTACATCTACTGTGGCAGAAACTGATTTTGTGTGTTGACGATCGAATATATCAAATGAAAGAGAATATTTGCCACCAGGTGTCACTTCTTTCATAATAATAGTTCCAGTTTCTGGATCCAATTCAAACTTGGGATGTGGTACATTATTATCCCAAGCAAAGACCTTATCAAGTAGATCCCAGTCATCCAAATCACTAACATGTACACGGCCAATGGGAGTCCTGGAAGCTTGCCCTAAAGTTTAAACATGGACATATCAGAAAAATTCAGATTATTCAACCTTATAGTTGTACTTAGAACTAACAGAAATGATCATTAATGTTGAAATATATCCATTTGTTTTGTCGCTGTAGGCACTGATCCACGGGGTCAAAGCCTCAAATATATTATTCTAGAGTTTTGAACAAAAGACTTGTGGTAAAATACTAGAAAATATATTAATGTGTTTTTTTTAGCTTCTATACACTTCATTTTAAATGAAATTCATGCAAATAAATCCATCAAGTTTCTACGGGTGTACAAAAATATGCACCCTTTTTTAAAAATCAAGATTCTAGGAACAAGAGTCTGAGCCCCTGTTCCTTTGTAAATAACCAACAGTACTCCATGATTCTCTTTGTAAAATCATTTTGAAAGCTTTTATCTTTGATATTTATTGACCATAATTACTAGTCCTAAGCTTGTTTATCTCTATGAGTCACTTTCAGTTATACTACCTACGTTTTTGCAATTGTGACTTTAACATTTGAAAAGCAGTTGTGTAGATACTACACTGGTTACTGAGAAAGAAATTTTGTTTTCATCACAGAACCTGTAGAATTAATGCTAATATAAAGTAGTGATAGTGCTTTACATGATTTTTTTTTATCAATATTCTGTTTTTAGGATTTACTAACCACCAATTATTAACTTAGTATCCTTATCAGGTGATAGTACAACATTAGACGATTTCAGTGGTGGTATTATACCTGTAAATGTATAAAGGAAATGTTGTGATGTACATTCAGGTCTAAAAATCAGATATATATAATATCCATTATTAAGTTGGTATCATTATTGGTATCAATAGTGCCATCATCAGCAAATATCTGTATCAATGAGTTTGACTACCATGGATACAGGTAGTGGAAAATATATTAATTAATTTGGAAAATATCAACTTTTTCTTGTTTTTGGCAATGTTCAAATTTATATTGGCATGGAAAAGATTTAATTAATTTTGAAAATATTATGGTTATTGATCAGTAGCCAGATGCAAATATTGGTTATCAGGACTTTCAGTAAAAAGTGTATTGATGCATCTCTTCTATTTCTTTGTATGAACGTTGCTAACTTGAGCTATTTAAAGAGACATCTGGTATTGAATGAATAAAACATTGTAAGGATGGTAATATTAACCTTTCTATGGTCCTCTTTTCAGTGCAAGTTTTTTCCTGATAAACCTACCAACTAATTTTATCAAGAAAGAAACTGAACATTGCTAAACAACCTCCTGATCAGAATGGCAAGTTAGTATCAGATAAAAGCCCACAAAGGAGAAAAATCAGACCAGAAACGAAAGTCTTATCAATTCAATGTTGAAGGCTTATCTAAAGCAAAGGGTAACTTACTTTTGAAATAATTCCACAACAACAACATGGACATTGCCCTCTTGCAAGAGGCCCACTTAGAAATGCATTCAGACCATAGAAGCCACATACTTGGATATTGTGTTGTTGTAAGAAGAGGTCACAAGAAATATGATATAGCTACTTACATCAAGAGGAACCTCACATAGAATGCTGAAGCTATTCAAACAATGACCCTTTCTTCATTTCCATCAAAGTCCATGACCTGAAGATCACCAATGTATACATTCCATGAGTATTATGGCCATCCCAGTACTCACTGATATAAAGCATCAAGCAATATTTGCCAGGGACTTTAATAGCCATCAGCATATGTGAGACTATGTCAGCAATAATAGTGCTGGCAAACAACTTGAACATTGAGCAGTACTCAAAAATCTCACCCTGCTGTATGACGTGAAACAACTCAGCCAGGTGGAAAAAGGACTATTCTCCTGGCCTCTGCTTCACTTCTTGCAACAGCAAAGATACAAACTCGACCTCTTCACGAAAAAATCTTCCACGGTTTTCTCATATTCCAAAGCCAACTTACCCTTCTCTACATCAGTATTGAAGTTGCACTGGTTCCATCAAGGCCAAAATCATATTAGAACTTTCAAAAAGGCCAGTGGGCAGTAATGTGCAAGGGACTTTAAAAAGAAAGGAACTTATTGGCAAAAAGGGTGCTTTTCAAGCATCATAAGGCAAGCATGTTTTTCTTGGGAAGATGGGGGATGTTAGAGGATATTATGTGGACTGTGAGTTGCCTCTGGCATACATAGCATAAAATTTTTAGAAGCAACCAGATCCTCTTTTATTCCTATTCACTTGGTTTTATAAATAAATGGCTTCCTGTACTCATACACATTAATTCCCCATCAGTTCATTGTGAGCAGAGCATTGAAACAAAGTGTATGACTGATTTTTATCAAATCCTGTAATCCCAATAACAAATACTTGCAGAACCCTCCTCACAGCCGATTCAAATCTAGCTGACCTCACTGGTCCACCATAAGAAGCCTCATATCTCAGAGTCAATCTCCCATAACCTGTTGGAAAGGCTTGTGGATCCATAGTGAGGATAGAAACTGACTGTGAAAATTAAAATTTTCTTGTACTGAAAACATATTTCCAATAGGTACTTACCTACTCTCACTCCAAGCTGTCTCGATCCTGGACTGCTCTCTAAGCATTGCTAAAATTATTTGCTAACAGTGCACCAATCTCTTATACCCCATCAGTTTCAAAACATTTCAGAACATGTGCTGATTATGTGTATACCTTCCACCAATTATACTGTACCCTCTATACTAGTGCAGCTAGCTCCCTCTACTATTCTAGAGTAACTTTCGAGAACTGGCAGGTACAAATCAGAAACACTGGCATATCAGTGGGGAGGAAGGGTGGGAAGTGGGTGAGAGGAGGTAAATACGTATCTGAAATACATTTTCAGTGTAAGAAAATGTTAACTCCCGAAACAGTCTTACCTCCTCTCACCCAAAGCTAGAATTCCACATTGCATAGGCTACTTTCTAATCTGTGAAAATTGCAATGCTTAACTTTCCACTACTTACATATTTTTAGAGTGATAACACATCATAATTGGCTTTTTGTTATTTTGTACTTTATCCAAAGCTCAGAGAAACACACACACCTCATTTCAAAGTTTCATCTCTAAACATGGCCTAGTAACTGATGACATATCAAGAACACCCTAGCAGACAATCTGCCTGTTACAATAGGCTGAAATGTGAGACAGTGATGCAAGTGATAGAAACATTATGAACTTTAAACATTATAGCCCAGTTACTATACGTTTAACAAGAGTGAAGACATACCTTTAAATGTATAGACAAAAATGTCTTTCTGATCTGGAAGCATAAGATTGTCATTTTCATCACCAATTATCACAGTCAATGTGCTAGTGCCAGTCATTGAAATAGCTCCACTGTCCTTAATTAGGATGGGTACGTGGTATTCCTTCTTCTCTTCTCGATCAAATTCAATTTTAGACCTTACTATTGCCATCCCATCTCCATCAGCACCATCTGTAAAATGTAAAAGAAATATATTTGTTAAATATATGGCTGTTGGCAAATATAGAGCAGAATATTTCTGATGTATACAATGATGTATCTGATTTCAATCTACTTACAGTTACTTCTATCAGACATTTAGCCTCTTTTTATATCATCAACAGTAACCAATTTGCATAGAGTTATTGAGGGTGGTTAAAACCAGGGTTCATTTCTAACTGTACATATATGTGTTTAATACTATCTAGTTAAAAGTTCATGAACAGATTTTTTTCAAACTTTACAAAATCTAAGATTTACAAACAATTTTTATTAGAATGAAATAAATAATCAATCTTTTCTTCCCCTAAAAAAGCTGTTTTTTTAAGACTAAAAGCAATTCAAAGTAGGTTAGATTTTTAGGTAAAATTAATAAAAAAGTGAATGTCTTCATTTTTATCTTCACTTAGTTTTATTAATTAAATACAGCTATAGCTAGAACACAGTGAAATAAATATAAAATCAGATAAAGATAACTGTACCCATAAATATTTATTTGTCATAAAACCTTATATTTTACATACTACTATTTTTATCCTTGTATACGTTTTCTTCCCTACAGGTTTGCATAAAAATTGAAACATATCATGTGCTTTAACTATGAAGCGGTGATTTGTGTTTAGAATATTTGTGCAAAGCTACACAAGGATTATCTGTGTATAGGCATCCCTAATTTTGAACTGAAAGACTATGGCAAATAGAGATGGAACAGATGTTCAACAGCATCCACAGTCAACTGTTGGGCTACTAACATCTGATTGAATAATAGGATTTGATAACTACTCTTATAGCACATCTTCCTTCCCAAAGAGTAGAGCACATTTCTATAGTGCAACAAGATGCAAACCATAAACCTTCAGGTTCACAGTCTGAGAACACTAATGAAGCCACGACTGGCACCACAAAGGTATGGTCGAATTAAATTATAATGATCAAAAGACTATTTAGCAAAACCCAGAAATGACATCATTTTGAAATGAAATGGTTTCACATGGATAAAGACTAACAGCTCATTAATTATTGTGTCTCAAAAACGTATTCAAATTATAAAGTACATGATACTGGAAATACAATAAGAAATGAAGTATTAAAGAAAATGTCCATGTGAGTTTTTTCTTTTCTTAAAAGTTATGTTATCTCACTTCATTACAAACATGTAGTAACTACACAGATTGCTCCTAACACTTTCGCTATAAAGGAAATACAAAACATTTTTTTAGAATCTGTCCAAAAATGTTCCTACTTTATGCCAACATTTTACCATGTGGCCATGTTCTTTGATTTTTATAATATAGTATATTCTAGTATCATACAGCACATGGTTAATTCTGTTACTTACCGGCATCATTTTCAACTTCAAAGAAGCTTTTTATTGAAGGTGGGGCATTGAAGTCCATGCGAAATGTAAAAGGTGGGCCATTATTTTTTGATCTATCATCATCATCTGTTGCTCTGATTTCTACAACTTTTTGTGGTGGTTTGTTTTCATAGACGACTGGGCGGTAATCTTTAAGAAACCTTGGAGCATTGTCATTTACGTCATCTACGGTTACTGTAAGTGTGGCAGTAGCAGTGAGAGCAGGAGTTCCTGGGAACACATACTTTTTTTTATCAACTTATAAGAAAAAAAAGTAAGAAAATTAAAATAAGATGACATTTGAGAACAATGATGTAAACTTTTAAACACATGAATTTTGTTAACAGTTTTTACAATAACCACTTATAGTAGTTTCAGTATATTTTGATGAAATTATGCAACTAAGGCTTATGGTACTGGCCATGTTAACTAAAGTTATCATACTTAGTACACATTTATGAGAACAGTATTGTGGTATTGCTATCAATTATAATCATAATTCATATACTCATTGCTACATTTGACTATCAGCCAAGTGGAATTATTTGGCTTCAACCACTATCAAAAAATATGTAAAATTATTTGACTTAAGCTTTATGAGATACAATCACATAAGAATAAAAAAATAAGATAATTTAGAGCAAATATACAGTTTTAGACAACAGAAGCACAACTTTAGAACCAAGTGTTAATGTTTTAACAAGTAAGAATTAATCCATGTAACTGTATCAGAAACAATAATACAAAAAGTAGCAATATAATACATTTTTCTCACACCTCTACACTAAAACTAGTCCAAGCACTTAAGTTTCTTTCTTATTTTGTGTGTCATCTCCTTAGGATGCATTTCATTAATCATTTTAGAAGTTCTTCTAAAACTAACAGAATTATTTGAGAAATGTATATTGTCTCTAAAGTTTCTTCCTGGAGTTTAAAAGTGTTCTTTTTTTTTATAGCAAAACTAAAAGAAGATACCAGGTTCATAGTAATTCCTTAACTACTGTTTTAGAGAGGATTCAGCCAGTAACAGTATTCCTAGAGTTACACTAATGGACTTAAACTGCCTAGTGGCATTACAAAAGGAATACTCTGTATTAAGAACTCATTCTAAAGACTGATATCATCATTACAAAAATTCACAAAGTGGTTTCAGCTTCCAAACCCAGAAAATTGCTGTAATCAGATACAATGGATTTGATGCAGAGTAAGCTAATTAAATTAAAAAAACACCTAGCTGCAACATTATTATAGTAAAATAGTACACTGTTCATTTTAATGTTGCATAAATCAAATAATTAAAAATGTACATCCATTTGTTATTAATTAAGTAAAGTATTCCAACTCTTACATTTACTCTGACTCATGTATCAGGTCATTTATTTGTTTAATTATTAAAATAAAACAGTCAACTTCCCATACCAACAACATGTTTTAAGAAGTCATATACCTGACTTATACATATATATACTACATACAAATACAGGAAAATTAGATTTGATATATATATATATGTAATGTAAACTGTATCATTTCTTACCATCATCTATTGCCAACACCTTAATTTCATACCGTGGGATATCTTCTCGATCCAACTGTCTCTGTACTCGAACTTCTCCTTGTTGGTCGATGCTGAACTGTCTCCTCCTATCTGATGCTCGTTCAATAGCATAACTATAAAAACAGACCAGTTATAAGATAACTCCAGAACAAAATCAAAACTCATTCAAACAAATTTAAATATTTCTGTTTACTAGTATGACCATAAATAGGAATTTAAAATGTCAAAGAAAAATTTATATGCTGCCTTAATCTCATGCTTAAAAGATAAGCCTAATCAGAATCACTGGCTGAATCGTTAGCAATTATAGACAAAAAAAAATTATCTTTCTACTCATAGATATTTTTTTACAATAACTTTAAATATAAAAACAATATATGCAAAAGTACCTAAAAGTGTACAATTTTTGAAACACAAATTAAATAATAATGTCATTATTTAGAATACTGTACCTGACTTTGGATGTGCCTGCTTTTTCAGGGTCTACAGCTGTAAACTTTGTTACACCCCTGCCAATTTCTGCATCCTCTGGGATGACCTCATGTATATTGGCCTTTAAAAATTTTGGTGGATTGTCATTAATATCTCGGATGCGCACCTGTATTTGAGCTCGATCTATGTGTCGTGGATCTAATGACTGGCCACCATCATCACTAACTTGAATGGTTATGTTGAAGCCAAATCTCTGATTAATATCTTCAAAGTCAAGAGGCTATAAAAGGTACAAAATGTGATTGTAGTTATTAAAATGTCTTCTTTAAAAGGAATATACATTAATGAGAAATGTGTGATAAAACAAATTTGAGAATATAATTTAGTAAAAAATCATTTTAAAGGTTTGATTTAAAGACCATACATGGCTAAAGCAAGAAGCTTTAAAACCATAAAAAAGATTTATTTTGTCATATGTAATAGAAAAAGCACACACACACGTATATACAGATATATAAACATATATATATACACACACATAGTATTCCAAAATTATTCATCAAAAAATAAAACACCATAAAACAAAATGTATGAAGGAAAAGATGTTGAAACTCTGCATAGTTTTAACTAACTGTATCAAGTTTCTCATCATCAGGTGGCAGTCAGTAATACCAATACAGGAAAAGCAAACTGTACTAGCCCTGAAGTCTGTCAAAATAAAAGTTCTCTTATATTTATCTGGAGTGTAAAGGTTGTTTTTTTCTATCTTTATTATCAGAATTTGTTCATTATTAATTCCAAAAGAAAATTAGCTTCTTCAGAAAACTGACATTTTACTGTACATACTTATTGAATAATCATAATAAAATGTTCTCCAGTGTCTGAAGTAAATGTTTTACAAAAAAAAAAAACATGTTTACAATAGTCAACTCTCTCAAGATGGCCATGTAAAAATTGTCTGTAATGAAATAATAGAATCTGCAACCACAAAAAACACAATGGCTCCTATTATATATTTTTATTATTATTAAACTGTAACTTATATAAGTGTATATATATACACATGCTACTAATAAACTATCTTAATATCATAGCCATGCATTTGTTGTAGCTAAATGAGATACGTTTAAGTACCTTGGTTATTTTCAGAGAGCCAGTTCCATCAGGATTAGTGAGCATTGTAAATTTATCAGCACCAAAAGCAGTTTCAAGAACTTCATAACTGAAACGATTAGTTTCCAATAGATCTTTATCGTTAACTGACACAACAAGAATAGACTCCTGGGGAATATTATCTCCATCAGTCTCGTCTACCTCCACATTCCAAACACTTTTGGTAAACCTTGGGGGCATATCATTGATGTCCTTCACTTTAATAGTAGCTGTACCTGTTCCTGTGGTAGAGAAAAAGATAATTCTTTTGAATAAATGCATCCCATTTGGAAAAACTTTAAAACAGCTAGATGAACTAATAAAAATGTATCACCCTCACTTAAGTTTTCATTATTCTCTTTGCTCCTATAAAATATTTCATATACTCAAATTTGTTTGTTGTTAAGCACACAGCTACACAATTGGCTGACTATCTGTGCTCTTCCCATCGCAGATACTGAAACCCAATATTTAGCATTATAAACCCTCAGACTCTTCACTGAGCAACCAGGGGGTGATGACTGAAGTTTGAAACAGTACTAGTAACTGTTTCTTAAATAAGTGTGCAACATACAAAAATGACTTGTCAATCAACAAAAAAAAACCTTGTGATAAAAATATTATTATGAATAACAAGTCAGTGGTAAAAAAAATAAAAAACTGAAAAAATTATAAAAAACAAACACACAAAACAAAAACAAGACTGATTCAACAAATTAAAGGATTCAAAATTTGTTCAGGTCTAATGACTGATTACCTATTCCTATTTGATTTCGAATTGTGTATAAATTATACAGGTGGTGGCTGTAATGACACTTACATTGGCAAAACAACATGCCAATTACACTTGCAAACACATTGGAGTATCATGCAAAACAGGAAAACATATGTCAAATCCTTCAGACTCCATAACCTTCACTCACAGTGAAAACAGTAATGATCCCGTTCTGGATTAAAAATTTCAAAATCATCTAATCTGGATCATCAAATAATGAACTGTTAATCTGTTAATTAAAATGGAATTCATCTATTCAAAATTCGCTCTTAATTACAACATAACTTACTTTTAATTTACTCAATTTTTTTACTTTGTAATTTAATTTTTCTTTAAGAAATAACAGAAATTGACAAGTGTCGAAATCTTTCTATCTAATATTTTACCTTTTTTAATATAACTTGATGAGGAAATATGAATATTTCCAAACATTCAAGTATTCAATGTCCGTTGTCATTTTGCAAGTGTCAAAGTTTGTTTCTGTTGCTGGCATACATTTAGTCATCATTAAACTTTGATTTCCATCTAATGAATCTGTTGCTACTAATACACTTTTTCTAAGATAGCAGTGTTTTTGTTGTTGCTTCAACACAAAGCTACACAATAAACTATCTGCTGTTCTTATTGCTGCTTCAACACAAAGTCACACAATAAACTACCTGCTGTTCTTGTTGTTACTTCAACACAAAGTTACACAATAAACTATCCTCTGTTCTTGTTGTTGCTTCAACACAAAGTTACACAATAAACTACCTGCTGTTCTTGTTGTTACTTCAACACAAAGTTACACAATAAACTATCCTCTGTTCTTGTTGTTGCTTCAACACAAAGTTACACAATAAACTATCCTCTGTTCTTGTTGCTGCTTCAACACAAAGTTATACAATAAACTACCTGTTTATTATTAAAATATTATTAATCAAAGGTACCCTTAAATCTCATAAAGAAAGTGTACTTTTTTCAAAAGGTTCTGTGATTTTGTAGAAAAACAATCTCCACTTAAAAAAAAAAATCCTAGATCCAGTTTCTGGTAGATTTCTGGTTAAGTGTAATGTCGAGAGAAACTGGTGCCTAGTGGCACTTCTTACCTGTTATAATAAAATGAAATAAGTATGTTATTTAACTTGAAATGAAAAACGAAGATTGGCTGCTTATCTTATGAGAAGATGGTCATTCAGCTGAAATGTGAATGACACGTTCTCTGTGTTTAGACTGATTTTTTGTTTTGTTTTATTGTAGATTTGGGACTGTTAGTATGAGAAAAAGATCATTTGTAAGCATCTTAATAACAACAAAAACATTATAACATCACAACACAGTCCAAAAATCAGTTATCTTTCTCTAGCGAAAGCATGCTTATAGGGCTATTCTTTTGTAATCTAAAAGTTCGAGTTGCGAAAGACAAAGCATAAATTAATTGACATTAAGTGATAAGTAGGCTGGGTACAATGTAATAAACAATAGAAATATAGCTTAGGTAAAGTGTGGGAGACAACATATATAATAAATATTCATTCACTCCATCTTACCCGAAAGCCTTCCTCCATCTGTAGCAACGACTTTGATAGTATACTCTGGGTTTGTCTCCCTGTCAAGACAGCACACTGCTGTGGAAATAACCCCTGTGTCCTTGTCGATCATAAAGATCAGTTCTCCATTTTCATTGACAGGATTCTGTTCGATGGAATAAGTTAATCTTGCATTTTCACCTTCCTCTGCATCATCATAGTCTGTAGCTGTCATGGTCATTACAGTCATACCTTCAAATATAAATAAAGTGTCCCCTTAGAGTGTGTCACTGAAAATGGTGGCAAGTGATACAATAATTTAGTTCAATTAAAACTCAATATCTTATCATTCTGACAATTTCTTTTTTTGGTATACTTAACATTTTAAACTTGAATAGTACCTTAAGTGACAACATAAACTAAATATTCAGGTATTTAGCCATTCCTAATTTAGAACTGCTTACCCAAGGAATGACAGTTAGTTAAAAGCACCCTCCGCACCTATATGGTTACTTTTAACCAAATACTGGGATTGACTGTCACACTTATAACACCCCACAGTTAAAAGAGAGAGAAGCGTGTTCAGCGACATATCATAGTTCAATCCTTATCCTTGGATACTATGATTCACAATCCAACATGTTAACTAAAAGGCCACACCGGGTCCAACAATTAACCTTACCTTTCTTAATTATTCGATAAAATGGGTTTTTATTTTTAAAACTCTAGTTTTCTATTTTATAACTGTTTGTTAAGTTCTAGGTTATCTTACCTGCTGGTCCATCCTCCGTTACATTGCCAACATAGATAGATGATGGAAAGAAGGGAGCGTTATCGTTAATATCTTTGAGATTCACAAGCACATCTGCATAACCAACCAGCCCATTCCCTCCCTCATCTTCTGCGAAGACAGTAAACCGCCAATGTGAACGGCCATGCGGCCGATCACGGTCTAACGGTTTAAGGACGTAGATCTCTCCAGTCGAGCTGTTGATTGTAAATTTGTTCTGGGCTGGGTTATCGTCTTCGATTCCTTGACCCGTCAGAAAGTACACTATGGCTTGCGGGCGGTCTCGATCGCCATCCGTGGCTGTCACCTATGGAAACACAATCTTATATCAACTATTTGTATTGTTTTTCAAATTAGGCATCTTAAGAATGCGCAACGTAAAGCTAAGCACTTAAGTTGATGGAAGACACTACAGCAGTAAGTTCTTGAAGATTCTGAAACAGGGGAAGGCATTTGTTGTTGAACCATATCAACCATAGAACACAGGCATTTGTTGCTGAAACATGAGTTACCTTCACTAAGGCCGGCATGGCCAGGTGGTTAGGATGCTCAACTCGCAATCTGCGGGTCGGCGGATTCGCATCCCCGTCCCACC